ATATTTAGCGCATCACATGACTTCCGTAGTAAGTTCGTTCTAATTGGTCAATATTAACGGTCAATTGGTTGGTCCACAGTTTACAATCTCACACTAGTATAATGACATAATTTGTCAAATTTTTTTAGAATTTATTCCATTATAATGACATGTCAGTATAATGGGAGAACCAATCAAAATCATTCTCATTTTTGAAAAAACATAAGGAAATAAAACTTATGCCAGGATCAAGATTGACTGGCATCATGGAAAATTCTGTATAATGCTGGTCAATTTTGACCTGGTGTAAGTTTTAAATTTCCTGATAAAACATGAATGAATAAAAAAAAAAATATATATAATAAAATTAAAATTACCAAATCACATGATAATGATTTTCATATGACTTCTATATGAACTCCTGTTATAATGACATTCTCGTCATACTGACATTTTTGTTTGTACAGAGAGTGTTGTTATAATGGGAGTGACTTGTATTATGATATTTCCAATAATTAATTCGTTGTTATTCATAATTAATTTCATCACCCGCAATACAGTAATTAATTTTGTAATTATGTTTTTAAAGAGGAAAATGGTAATTAATTACGATAATTACGTACTTACAGTAATTATGCAATTACCATCCTATGTATAGTGCTAACAACGGTTTGCATAGAAAATTTTCACAATAGTAATTAATTTCGTCACCTGTAATTAGTTTTGTTACCCATAATTAATTACATAATTATGTTTTTAAGAGTGAAAGTGGTAATTAATTATGTTAATTACATATTTACGGTAATTAGCTAATTACCATATCATGTATACACTTGTTGTCACTCTAGTTATTATAAAAATATGGTGAGTGCAATCATTGCAACTTGTCACTCTAGTTAAAATTCAAAAAATTGTGGTATTGTAACTGTTGTTTTTTTTTAATCCATTTAGAATAACTGAAGTTGCTGAACACCTCACTCTGAGGAAAAAAAGAAGGAATTCTGTGGAATCAATTGTGTCTGCACCAGGAACAATCTTTGGTTCACACAATTCATCAAGAATTGACAAACAGTGATAAATCAATTGGTACAAAAAGTTGATGTAATATGATGCAAGTCACTTAGTCCCACAACTTTTTATTGGTCATGTAGATTTTCAAATTCTCCAAAAATGGAAATGCAACACCCCAAAATAAATCATGTATTTGAAGTCAAGACCTTCCTCTGCAAAATCACGATTTCATCTCATTGATATGTCATGTTGTGGAAAATTTTGAGCTTCAAAGTTGCACAAGTTTGCTGAATTTACTATGTTTAGCCTTAAAATGGTGTTACACACAAAAAAGTTAATAAAAATAGACAAATTGAAACAAAATAAAAATTTGAAAAATTTCCCTTATGTTGCAAATCTTTGTCACGTGAATTTTCCAGATGAACAGGAAGAGAATTATCTATTATTAAAAAAAATACAAAGAACAGCTAAGTTCATTTATTTTAAACCTAATAAATAGACTATTGCATTAATCAAAGAAATATGCAATTGCAAAATATTCTAATGAACGTTTATCAATTATTTAATAGTTTGTGTAGGAGTAATTGAAATAAGCTTTAAGGACAAGCAAGATCTATGAACAAAATATATTAATGAAGGTTTTATTAATCATTCAATAGTTTATATAAATTTCTCTTTTATTTTAACTATTATTTAATAACACCACTATAATCATTATTATTGTTGCTTATTGTTCTAATCATCATTTACATACAGTCGAACCCTCGTTTCAACGGATTTTTGTTTTGACGGATTTTTGGTTTTGCCAAGATAAATATTATTTAATTATTATTATTATTATTGTAGGTGCTTTTTATTGATGAAGTTCATATCCTTGATATTGAATGTTTTTCATTTTTAAATCGTGCTCTTGAAGATGAAAGATCACCTATTGTTATTATGGCTTCAAACCGTGGAATTACAAGAATTCGAGGTACAAAATATAAGAGTCCACATGGAATTCCAATTGATTTGTTGGATCGATTATTAATTATCAGCACAGTACGATATGTTGAAGAAGAAATTAAACAAATTTTAATTATTCGGTAAATTTTCTTTTTAAGAAACTTTTCTTTTTTTTTAAATCTACTAAATAAAACTCCCTTTTGATAGTTGCCAGGAAGAAGATGTAACAATGGCTGATGAAGCTTGTGATGTTTTGACAAAAATTGGTGTGGAGACTTCATTAAGATATGCAATTCATTTGATTGCAGCAGCACATCTTGTTTCCAAGAAACGAAAGGCAAAAAATAACAATCAATATATTTATTATGTATTATTTTGAAGGAATTAAAAATAATTTTTTTATTAATTTTTTATTTAATATTAATGATAGGCTAGCAATGTTGAAGTTTCAGATATAAGACGTGTCTATAGCTTATTTTTAGATGAAAAACGATCAGTAAACTACCTAAAAGAATATCAAGAACAGTATATGTTTAATGAAATACCAATTGAAGAAATGGAAGGAGTGGAAACATCAGACCCACTAGTTATTAGCAATTAGTTACATTGCTTTTAATCAATTGATTAATTAAAATAAATTATTTACATCTGACAAAGTAATTTTTACACCTCTAATATTTGCTTTGATAATCTCAGGTCTTTCACATATTGATTCTTATATTAAAAAAAAAAATATGACAAATTAAAAAATAGTTATTAAAAAAAAAGATTCTTTATAAATTATATATATAAATAACATTTACCAATAAAAAAGAGGCTAGAATCAATTAATTCAATATATATATATATATTAATATAAAAAATCCCATTAAAAAAAAACAAACCAAAATACCAATGAAAAATCACATATATACATTTACATTATGACTGATTAGAACATCACTTATTTCTTTATGTCTTTCTTCCATTATATTAATAGCATCATAAATTCCAACCTGCCCTTCTTTTTCAAACAATCTGTTGCAATTTAATGTCTTGCTTCAGCTGATCCTTGATTTACTATATTTCACACATACATATGTATAAATATTTATGAATATATAATTTTAGCAATTAATAAATTAGCATTAATTACATATTTATAACAGATGGCAATAATTCTTGATAAAACATACCAGGATTGAAAAAAACCTGGGGCAAATTTGAAGCTGTTCCCACAACTTTTCTTCTATAGTTCCCCACACTAAAAACTTTAGTTGGGATACCATTTAATTTTCTAAAATAAATTTTAAAAATTGATTTGATATCCAAGTATTGAAAGCCTTTTCCACCTTCATAGCATTGAGTTTTATTCAATCCTGCTGGATTGGATGTTTTCTGTAGAGTTTTTAATCAATCCAAAACCACCATCACATTTCCTAATATATTTAAAAATAAAAAAGTTGAACTTTGGCAAAAAAATTCATGTCCAACAATTGCTTCTAATACATAACTTTTACCAGAACCCTGGCTACCAACCAATTACTAATAATACTTGGTAAATTCAATGCTTCTTTATGATCAATGTCATTAAAATATTATAAACTTTTATCTATTTTTTGTAAGCAACATGAATTCATCATTTTGCACTGGAAAACCACGTCTTTTCTTATATACTCCAAAGTCTTTAGCATCATTCTCATCACTATCTTTTTCTCCAGTCATAAATAATGAAGCAGTGAACTACCACCACCACCACCACCACCAGATAATCTTGAACCATCTTCATCCTCCTTTTTGATAAACCTGGACCTATCTGAATCAACTTTTAATAAATTTGATGATGTTGATTGAGTTGGATTTTTAGAAAAGATCTTTTTTACAAAGTCTGGTATTCCTATTTCAATATTCATATTTGTTAATCCGCCTATCAATCCTATTGCAGATTTTACATCATTGGTAAGAAATTCAGAGCTCCAATTTGCCATATCTACAATATCATATCAATGAATTAATATTTAAATACATGCCTTTCACTTTGTTTATAGAGACAATCTATAAATTTATAATTTATATATATCAAGCTGCCAATTCCTATAATAAAGCTGGCAGCAGACATTTGCATTGCATGGAATACAAATCTTGGAACTGAATATATTGAAACGATATTATTTGTAGACCTGTTCTATCCAATGTAAATTTTTTACTACAATTAGTCTGTAGTTGTGGTCATCAGAAAGCTTAATCCAAAAAACATACTTTATGTGACTTGTGGCAAACAAAGTAGGTGTGCTTTCCATAGTTTTTCTTTTCCGTGATTTTTTAATTTGAAAAAAAGAATTACAAATCATATTATGATTGCAAAAAAAAATATATATATTAATATAATCAAAATCATTCAACAAAACTCGCTGCTGGAAGATTCTTTGATTCCTCCAAAAATGGAAATCGAAGAAATTACTATGTCACATTATCATCAAACTCAAAGCCTGTAGACAAGCTGAATAAATAGCTTGACTTTAAATGGGTGTCTGCTGCAATTTTGCAAGTACTCAATGGAGAAAAGCAAACACACATTGACAACTTACAATGACCAATGAATACCTAAGCTATTGTTTGGGTTAAGCTCTACATCAAATCCCCCACTTCATGCAAATCTTCTTGGTCAAATTAATAGCCTATGGGGAGATTTGTAGCATATCAGGTTCATGATAGAGACTTGCAACAAATCTAGATACTTGCCACAGTGATTTAATTCTTAGTAATATTCAGCTTGATGCCAAGTGTGCAAGTGAAAAAATTGAGAACAAATTTTACAATAGGTGCATATATTGTATTTATTCATAGAATTAAAAAATAAAAAATTCTCTTAGAGTAAATCAAAAGCACAAATTGGATTGTTCTGAATCATGGATAAATTTACTTTATGACTCATTAACTGTATAATAAATAAATATTATTTGAATAAAAAAATATATATAAACAACAAAAATCAAAATATAAAGACCATACCTCTCTTATATTGTCAATCTTATACTTTATCATTGTAGGTCTTTCTAAACTCAATCCCCAAGCAATAACACGAACATCAGGGTCTAAACCCATTGGTTCCAACATTTCAGGTCGAAACATTCCTGAATTTCCAATTTCTACCCATTTACCCAATCCTTGATTTACAATTAAAAGTAATAATAGAATAAAATTTAGTAAATTACAATCTATTCCAAATTTATTAAATAATTGCTATTTATTAAAATTACCTTGATGATATGAAAAGATTTCCATACTTGGCTCAGTATAAGGATTATAAGCAGGTTTAAAACGTAAATTGGTAACACCTATAAATCATTATATTTATATAAAATCTCACATAAATATATTCTACTGTTTAACAAAAATGTATTTATGTATATTAATAACTAACCCATCTTTCCAAAGAAAGTGTTCATGAAGCCGATCAAATCACCCAAAGTCAATCCTTTATCTGCAATAACACCTTCCACCTGATGAAATTCAGCCAAATGAGTTGCATCAACAGTTTCATTCCTGAAGACTCGATCTATTGAAAAATATTTAGCTGGTTTAAATTCTTTTTGTTGAGCAAGATTATACAACATATAAGAAGATACTGCTGTTGTATGAGTTCTCAAAATTAATTTTTGTGCTTCTTCAATCTTCCAATCATAATTATATCCGATTGATCCATAACCACCAACTGAGTGTACTTCTTTGACACGTTGAAGATAATCAGTTGGAAATTTTGTAGTGATTTCTGGATCTTTATTCATTTTTTTACATAATAAATTAATTAATTAATAGATTCATAAAAAAAAAAAACATTTGAAAAACTTTACCTTTTAAGAAAAAGGTGTCATGAGCATCACGAGCTGGATGTTGTTGAGGCTGGAAAAGTGCATCAAAATTCCAAAAAGATGATTCAACAAATCTATTTGTTGGCATTTCTTCAAATCTAATATATAAGATATGATTTAAATATATATTTTCATATAAAACATAGATGTGTGTGTGTGCGTGCAGGCACAATTACCCCATCTCAAAAAAGATATTTCGAAATTCTTCTCTAACTTTCATTAAAGGATGTAAATGACCGCCTGGTGGTGGTATACCAAGAGCATCAAAATTATAATTTTTAAAGTTGGCCTTTTTCCACTCACCACTTCAAAGCATATTTCAAAATAAAGTAAGCAAAAAGTACACTTGATTTAAAAAAATCAATTAAATCAGTCAGCACCTTTGAAGCATTTCAAAAGTTATGTCACGAGCCTGTTTTTCAATTGTTAAAGCAAAGTGTGAACCTTTTTGAACAGTATAAGAAACAAGTTTTCTATAATGTTCGTAATTATAATAATAAATAAGATGAAACAAAATTCAAGATCTTAGTAAAGTATAATTGTAAATTGATAAAATGATGATGTATGGTAGAAATTACTAAACTGTTTATCACATAGTTTTCTTTTTTTTAATTCTGCTAATACTTTGGAATCATGATGTGTTCCTGTCGATCTAATTATTTCAAGATCTTTTCTAGTTTGATCTACAATTGAGTTTACCTTTAACATTTTTATTATGATAATGTTATTTATTATTCTATTATTAGTATCAACAATTACAAATGTAATGTTATAAACAATTATAATTATTAAATATGTGATAAAACACACAGATCTGATTAAATTTTCTCCTTTGTTGGCAATCCATTTGTTTTTATAGGCCTTTCCTTGGCCAATCTTTGCTGATTCACCAAGTAATTCCTAACAATAGAGATGCAATTAGTAATTATATATAATAATAATCTATTTATATTTACAGTTCACTCTCTCTATAAGAGATCTTGCTTTATAACAGACTGAGATTTAAGCCCAATTTATATGCCATTATTACTGTCTATAACAGACATTTTTTCCTAATACTAAACCAAATGGTGAGAGTGGATTGTATATGTGTTTATATACTAACTCGTAATTTTTTAATAGATATGCCTTCATCACCAACAGGGATAGTTTCAAAAACTTTTGCTTCATGACTCCCATTATTAGCAATTTCATTGCCTTCTTCAGTAAGTATCCATATTTCTTCCTCGATGGTATCATATCTTATCATCTATATAATAAAACTATTAGAAATATGTAGATAAATCCATTTATTTATCTACTAATTTTATTCATCTAATTCATCTAATTCTAATTCTTCCAAAAAAATTTTATTACTTCTTTATCGGTTAAACTTTTTAAAGCTCCCAATAAAACTAATTGATCAATATCTTTTCCATCTTCAGCTTTAAGATTTTTTGAGTTTTCAATCAGACCTTTTGTATCAAGAGTGTTCAAAACAAACGTTTGCAATTCTTCGGTGGTAGACATTTTGACAAGAAATGGTTTTTTTATTGATCATCATGAAAAATCTATTTTTTTAGGGTATAGACAACAGGAGAGACCGTCCTATATAAGGAATGGATTTTCACAATTGATTTCAATTTTTTTTATACAGTTTAAAATACT